CCATTAGCAATGACGAGAGACGTGGATGGACGAGCGGCGCTCGACGTTCGGATGAATTTCGGATAAAGACGCGTGGTCAGTTTGACAATATGCCGAGTTTACGTGCGATTTGCGGTGTCTAGCATGTAACGCGAGAGCAAGAATGATGATCGCGTTGCAATTACTGCTGACGGATACTGCGGAAATGCACGACTCCGAAATGCCATCCACGCTGCCATCTTGAATCAGCTGTCAAGCAGACGATACGCAGGTATGGGCACACTTCCGAAAAGTTCTAACATCTAATTATCATAATTGTGTTGGCGATTCGTGCAAGAAATCGACATTGCTAAAACCTCGTTCAATTTTTTTTATCAGAAATACTTTTGCTACTATTTGATATCCTATTTTCAGTTCTGAAGAATGCGTGCATATAAATAATATTACAATATGACAATTTTGAGAATAATTACACAAAAAAGGCAAATAAGTCGCCAAATGACAGAAGAATTTGTTAGAAAGATAATCGATTGTAAGGAACACTCTGATGTACTAGTTATGTTATTATATATTTTTGTAGAGAAATAATTGGCAATGAATTTATAATCTAAAGCGTATATGTTTTTATAACATGAATTTATAATTTAAAGTGTATATGTTACGAAAAAAATATTCGCGAAGAGAGTGAAACGCATTATTAATTTTGCAACACAATTTTTATCAGATTTAATGTTTTGCACATATAATTTACAAACAAACTATTTACAATATTTTATCGTATGATTTCAGCGTTTAACGCATTATTTGAACTCTGGTGGGACATGGAAATATCTGAAGACGGTGTACAAATAAGAAATCAGCCGGCAGACTTGCTCTCAGTGTACAATAAGCAGAAGAATGATGAACCCGAAGCCGATCTTAATGAAGTCGAGATAATTACGTCGGCGGGACATTTTTGTGCTATCGAGATCAGAGAGTCCAAGAACTACAATGAGAAATCAATCGACAAGGACCAGAGTGAGGCAAATGAATCAAACGCTTCAGAATCCACTTTAGAAAATATACAGCATACTGAGAACGGTGCTATTACTAATGTATTAACCGATCCAATTTATTTAGACACCTTAGACTCCGATTCCATAAATATCGAGTTTCAGAAACAGCCAAACACAACAGAAGTGTTTATTCGAAACGATGAGCACATACAAACGACCAATTACAATATATCTACAGTAACGATACCGAATGAACTCTTAGACGGGCTCAACATCAATATAAAAAAAGAAGATGATGAGGATCACGGTACATTGTACACTGCAGAATGGTTATGCGATGGCAATAACGACGCCAATATACGACTGAGGATCTTAAAGGATGCTAAACAGAACATACAAATTCCCGTTGATGTCGACACCAGCGATGTGATCGCGCTAGCAAAACGTAAGAGCCAATTAACAGATGATAAAGATAGTCTTGAACAGGAAAAGATTAAAGTATCCAGAAGATCAAAGAAACACGTCAGGCTAAAGTCCGCCGCGCATCATCAAGACTACAGGGAAAGATTGAGAAAAAAGGCTGAGTGTATGAGAGAGAAACGGAAAAAGTTATACGAGCAAGAGAGCGAGGAGCAACGTTTGCAGAGATTGGCAAAGGAAGCGGCGAAGAGACGCGAGATGAGAATGTATTACGAGACGCCGGAGCAACGGAGAAAACGACTCGACGCTGAAGCAGCAAGAAAAAGAGAATACAGAATGTACAATGAGACACCGGAAGATAGGAGAAAGCGACTGGATCGCGAGGCCGAGAGAAGGAGAATTAAGAGATTGTCATTGTACGCAAACGAAACACCAGAACAGAGAAGGGAAAGATTGAATAAAGAGTCAGCAAAGAGACGAGAGGCCCGATTGAATCAATATGCTAAAGAAACAGAGGAGGAAAGGAAGGAAAGATTACGAAGGGACGCACTGAGAGCCAGGGAAATGAGATTCACGAGATCCGCCATCGAAACGGAAGAGGAGCGTAGGCAAAGGTTAGTAAAGGATGCCCTTAGAAAGAGGGAGGTAAGGATGCATGGGGGCCATTCGGTGAACAATAATTTTACGGAACTCCAAACCGTTCGCAATTTTCAAGAATTGAACGATGTGCAGATAAGGGACAATCCTGAAAATCAATTGGACGGCCATTATCTGAGCAACTGGATGATGTGGTTTCAAAATACATTGACACAACCGGTTCACAATAGAGAGCAGGTCGCAGAGCCGCAACCGCAGCATAATAGATAACTTGTGTTTTCCGTCATGAGAATACTTTGAAGACTTTTATATGTGAACGGTACTGATAATAGAGACCAATCTGGATATGCTTTATATATGCTTCCCATACAATTTTTGGACGTGGAGCGACACAAAAAATCGTAACGACACAATTACCATTACGCCAATTACTATTAATAACATTACGAGATTTACAATAGCAATAGCTAAGAGAGTTATAAATTCGTGTTAGAAACACTATTTTATAATATTTATAAACGCGAAAGAGCAAACATAATTATGCTATCTTGTCAATATAAAAGGAAATCGTATACTTGTTCGCATTTTATCAAAATGTTGACGATAGATCAATTCAGAAAAAAATTGAGCATTTTCCAGTGTTTGCGTAATATTTGACGTTCGACGATTATTTAACCACTTAAAAGATTTTCTGCTTGTAAAAGATATGAAATACATCTTAAAGTAACACAGTGGTTACTCTTTGATATTAGATTTAAGTGTGTAAATAAATTTTGCTGACATGTTGATGCATGAAAGAATGAGAGTTGTACATTGGAAAAAAACAAGAGAAGCAATTCTTGCCAGTGCCTTTTATTCATTGTTCAACAAAATAAACATTCAGACTTCATTAATACACATGGCATTTGAACATGAGTGAATGATTCTGGTGAAAGTTTGACTGTCTCTTGTGCTATTTGTACATATAATTACTATGTAACTCCTTTCTACAGTTCCTTTGTAATAAATAAAATAATAAATTGTGTTATGTAATGCGTCATTCCACTTCTTCTGTAAATATTTAATTTTTAAAAGCTTATAATTCTATTATATATCTATGGAATTGTTTGATGATTATTTTATAAACATTTATAAATACTAAATTTAATATAATATAACAGTATTGTTTAATGATTTGTCTACTATTTTTATTTGCAATAAAAAATACCATTAATACAAATTATTACAAATTAAATTAAATTATTATTAATTTACAATCAATATACACAAAAATATGTATATAATATAAATTTTATTTAATTCAATGTTCATAAATATGTAACAACATGAAATAAAATCAACACAAATGTTTTAAATAAATAATTTTAATAAAACAATGAGCAAGTTCAAGTCGGCAAAGCAGCTAAGCATGCTTGTTAAGCGAATGAGTATGATTTGTTCTTATTTGTGGATCCAATCAATGATTGCGTTCAGCAGAAAAACAATGCTTTGCAAATGTGAAAAATTGTTCAATACGATTGGTTGCTTTTGATTCTTTATAGATCTAAATAAACCAATTATATTGAAGAATTTCACACAGTTGCAAAACTGTTTTCTCTGTTGAACGCTGCCAATCATGTTTAGTTGCTTGATGAGCAGGATCTAGTCGCTTTGTCGACTTGAACGCATCTATTAATATTGGGTCATCTAAAAAGTATCCGCGGTTTTTTGTCACTAGATGTATGTTGATGGTCGTATATCTAGTGACAAAATACCGCGGATACTTTTTAGATGACCCAATATTATAGCTCCTGCTGACTCTAAGAGTATATCTACACAAACTTGCATAGTCGCCTAAACGTACGCATAAAAAAATTATCCAATCGCATTTCTCCTATGAAGGCGCACGTGAAATGTGATTGACTAATTTTCTTTATGTATAAGTGGATATACCATAAGGACCGCGACACAGCTTTTGCATAACGCATAATATATAATACATATTGCATAAACAAGTCAATCAATCAAAATCTTCCTACTTCATGAAAAAGGAAAATTTTGATTGGATGATTCCTTTATACACTATACATTATGCATAAGTCTGTGCTCCTAATTTAACGAGCGCGTTTGAGTGAGTAAGAGCTACGGTTGGAGGAAGTAGGAGTTAGAGCATGCTACGCGAACAAACCCCTAATTGACATATTCCGTTAGATCTAAAAATATAGACCAAAGATGTGAGAGCTCATTGAGCGTTCCGTAAGCTCTTGCATCTAATTGGCATATTCCAATAGATCCAAAAATATAGACCAAACAGGTGCAATATTAATAATTAATAATTAATAATTCTATCGATGTAAAATAGTTGTTTACGAAATGTCAGACAATTTTCATAGAAGAATCGATAAATCGTTATCACAATGATAATCATTATATGATCATCCAACTGATAATTCTGGAATGTCGCTTTCGAAAAAATTGTAAATTTTGTCAAACAAGGATCGTACTAGGACAATTTATGTTGAGTTCAACATCGGGACCATTAAATAATTAAACTTACTAAAGGCTTATGGAACATGTAATAATTTATACACGATAATAATATGTAAATTTTATAATATTCATTGAAGAGGGCTGTTAAAAAATATTGAGCCGTAATATATATTTTCTTAATTTTGTAAAATACATAAAACTAAATCTTTCAATTTTAAATACAAAATATAAAATACGCTTGTATTGAAAAAACTGTATTTTAAATAAAAGTATTTAAATACATGCCTCCTATATGGTTTGATTATTGAACAATGCAAAGCTTACAAAAATGCAAAATAGAATTTATTATAATAACCTATATATTTCTTATAAAATAATTCATATTTATATTCAATATAGATAGAAATATATGAATTTAGAGTCCTCTGTATGCACAATATAATATGATATTGATGTTCACAGAATAACATAGTTTTTCCTTAAAATTAAAGGTAAAAATAATACCAATGAGAGCCGACATAGTTGTATATATGCAGTGAATCAAAGCATTGAACCAACTTTTTACCCCCACTCCGTATATCAATTGCCAACATCAATTACAGATGTTTCAATAAGACTAGATCACTGTCGATAAACAAGTAACAAAAATTGAAGTCCGTGTAGAAATACAAATTAATATTATATCCATTATAATTAACGCGATAAAATTATACTTGTGTTTTGAGAGCGTATGGATAGTTAATCATACTTTTCTAAAAAGGGATTAATAATTGCTGCTGTATCTTTTGGATGTGTGAGATGAAGATGATGTGTTGCTGACAGAATCTCATATTGTACTGTGTCATTAGTTGCTCTCATTATTTCCAGCGTCTTATAAAAGAGTTCTTGATCCTCACCATAAAAATTAATGTCTCCTTTGATTATTAAATATGGGCATGTTATAAACTTTGCGTACTCTTCTACTTGCTCTGACGAAAACATACTATGGATGGGTATAACTCGCATTCTAGGATCTCTGTTTATAATATACATTCCATCCTCTTTTTGCGTGATACCTCTAGTCATAAGTATTTTAATTGATGATTCATCCAAATTTATATATATTCCTGTAGATATCTTTTTCATAATCTCACTTTGCGTGTAACTTAATTGAACATAACTTTCCTCGAGTTTAAAAAATGTATCAACTGCATTTCTAAACATAGAAGTATGCGTGTCTGTACTAATAGAAATAAATTTGAAAAAATCCAAAGCTATAACATATTGTAGCTCTGTTGGAAAAGTCGCAGCATACCAATATATTGTCATTGCATTTAAGGAATGCGCCATTACTTTTATTTTTTCCCATCCAAAATATCTTTTAATTCTTTTAACTAACAAAAAGTATATCAATTCATTATACATAAATCCTGGTGGTAGCCATGAAGATAGACCATGTCCAGGTAAATCGATTGCCAGAACAGGTGTATTTTTCATGATAAGTGGTGCTATGTTATCAAATGATGCAGCATTATCTTGCCAACCATGCAAAGCCAGAATAGGTTGTTTATTTTGCGATCCCCATAATTTACCTAAAATAAAATTTTTGTTTATAATATGAATCATACTTGCAGGAAAAAAATTGTATATCCCAGCCACTTTGCCCCAAGGTACTGGAATTTCTATTTCTTTAACTTCATGCTGTGTAGATTTACTGTATGGTTTCACTAGCTTTATATAAGAGCTTGTTCTCAAACCACGAATTGCAAATTGTTTAAACATATTAAAATATATATATATATATATATATATATATGTGTGTGTATAAAAAACACAATTATAAATATCAAAGTTCTATGAACTTTTTTGTAGTAATCTATATATAATATTTTGTACCTATTTATACACTGTCCTACTTTAAACTGATGAATGATAAGAATTTGAAAGTATTTATAGATTTATGGTAGTACTTATGCATTGTCATTAAAAATAGGAAATTATCGATCGATGATTTAAGAATCGATTATTTGCTCAATAGAAACATTTTTCGTGGAGAAGATAAAGGCTGCTGCAGAAAAATTTCGTAGTTACTGTAACAGTAACTTTAAGATGTGAACTTAAGCCAATCAGGATATCACTTCAGATCTATGTAATCTCTAAGAGTGAAATCACACGATTCGGAATAAGATTGCGGAATACAGAATGCATCATTGAAGCAATCGATCAGTATTATTCCGCACTTTCCATCACGCAAGTTTTGTGTGCTATGTTCCTCTGCGTCAAAGATGTACCCAGCATGAATATAATTTAAAACCTACTAACTTCATGTTAATAATTTGCTTATTAAAATGGTATATAATTTTTCAAATTGTAAAAACAATTATCACTGTTGTAGTATTTAATTTTTACAATTAGTATTTACAATCTCATAACAATTTTTTGAACTGCTTTAACGCATTTACTATCATTTTTCCACATCGTGTGAACGTAGCACACAAAACTGGCGTGGAAAAGTGCGGAAAAGGGCACACTGAAATCGCATAATGCATCATTGTTTTTTTGATTTCCATATTTATGCACTCAAATTTTGTCATTTTGCTTTATTCGTCTCATTACGCAATTCCATCATCCAATCAGCATCAAATTATTTTAACTCCTCAAAATACGACGGTTTATTACAAGAACACTGATGCACTCGCTATTTCGCAACATCAAATGTAGAATAGCGCCGAGTGGTTGTTCCAATGACGCATTTTCTATTCCGCATCTATATGATTTCATCCTAAAGCCGGTTTTACATTAATTGCAAGCCGATCGCAAGTTGCGACAGCCAAATCTCCGAAGCTTGCATCTTGGAATCAACACTTCATATTGGCAATAAACTTGCGATCGGCTTGCAACTAATGGTTGCGTTCAGCAGAACGTTTATTTTGCAATTGTTGGAAGTTTTCTTCGCGTTAATTGGGTTATGCTTTTAGATCATGGTCCAATCTCAGCAGAGCATAAAACGGTTGCAAAACTGTTCTGCTGAATGCAGCCAATGTAAAATCGGCTTAAGGCGAATTTTAATCGATTGAAATTCACTTTATTGCGAGGTTATGGATAAGTTTACTATTATTTTCATTTCTGTTAAATTACGTAGACCTAAAGCAATTCAGATCGGCTTAAGGGAAGAGAATAAGAATGAATGTGTTTAAGTCGATAAAGCGGCTAGATCTGAGGATCGATTCTGTATCTCGAAATAAGATGAAAATTATAAAAGTGAGCGAATTTATTAGAATACTGATAATTTCATTGAGCAACATCTAGTAAATTTGTTCGCTTTTGTAATTTTCACCTTGTTTGAAAATATTGTATAATAATTGACTCCCTGTTCACTAATCAATTAAACATGATTGGTTAGATTCATAGATAAGAACCAATTATTATGCTCATTTGCTCGACAAGCATGTCTAACTGCTTTGCCGTCTTGAAATTCTATGATCCATGGCTAAGAGTACACGTGCGTTTGAATTCTAAGTAAACCACGATTGTAACCTATATGTTCTAAACAATTATCAGTGGCCCATATATGTAATGATTTTTTATGATATTTATATTATGTGATATATGTGATATTCAAATTCTATGTTATTTTCAGATTATTTTTCCTAACTTTTTAATATCATACGAAATTATTTAAATTAAAATAACTAAATTAAATTTTAAGTAACTGATTTTATCCCTGACCTTTCTTAATGAGTTTGAATATTGCTGCTTTCTAACCCTTTACTAATAAGTTTACTTTCACAAATTCTTATTATGTGTGAAGTATATATATATATTCTTATTATATATTCTACTTGATTATTTTCTTCAGACTATAGACAAACTGTAAGATGGGCCTGACCAAGCAGTATTTAAAATATGTACCAGCAGGTAATGCAAATATAATTGCGAGTCCTCGATGTAATATTGTCTTTGTAAAGTTGGATGGTCAAGAAGGTAGATTTGTAGCTGCTGCTGCATGTGAACATGTATACATTTGGGATCTGCGACTTGGAGAAAAGGTAAATTGAAGGATGAAGGAACTTAATAGGTTTGATATTTTTATATTTTATGATTGATATTTTTATATTTTATGTTTGATATTTTTATATTCTGTGATTGTAATATTAATTTTAGGCACAAGTATTATCTGGAGAAAAGGTATGTGTAACATGTCTGGCTGCATCACCTGATAAAAAACATATCGCAGTTGGTTACGCAGATGGCACAGTAAAAACCTTTGATTTAAGTACTGGTGAAAATATTAGCATATTTGTGGGACATAAATCTGAAATAACAACCTTGGCATATGATGTATTAGGACATAGATTAGCCACTGGTTCGAAGGTTAGAATCTTTTACAGACAGAGCAAAATTATAAGTAACATTACAATCCGAAGCGCCACTACGGTCTAAGTATTAAGATGTTGAACTAATATATATATTATTCAAACGAATGAATTAATTTCAGAAATAATAATTACGTGTCGATATGGTAATTTGGGGAATTTTGGGGGGATTATTACATTTCAGATTAATTGCGTTAATGTCGACAACCATATCGACACGTAATTATTATTTCTGAAATTAATTCATTCGTTTGAATAATATATATATTAGTTCAACATCTTAATACTTAGACCGTAGTGGCGCTTCGGATTGTAATGTTATTTAATATAAACGATCTTGTTTCCTATCTTAAAATTATAAGTGTTTATATTTTTTCTTTATGCAACAGGATACAGATATTATTGTTTGGGACGTTGTGGCAGAAACTGGAATATGTCGATTAAATGGACATAAAGGTGTTATAACCAAGTTGATATTCATGAAGGAGCATAACATTATTATTAGTGCAAGCAAAGATACATTTGTGAAGTTTTGGGATCTAGACACGGAACATAATTTTAAAACCCTTGTTGGACATAAATCAGAAGTAAGCTTAATTATGTTCTTATTTGTTATTTACATTTCAGATGATTGTAGTATTGATTCAATGTTGATACAGGTGTGGAGTTTCGTCTTAATGAATGACGATCATTATTTAATAACAGGATGTAATGATATGGAACTACGTGTTTGGAAAATAACATTTCTTAATGACAGGAATATTGAATTGGATAATGCTGTTGGTACAATAGATACCAACGAAGAAAATGAGGAAAGTGTGGATACAGATATGGTATGCAATTTATATTATATTCGATTCATGATGCCATTTGTCCTCTTTATGTAATAATTTTTTAAATAGTACATATAATTATATATCCATTGTATTTTTATAGAAATATCCTATAAAATGTGAAAAAGCTGGAAGCATATTAAGAACCACGAGAGGTCGAGTTGTTTCGTTAGAAGTTGATTCCACATGCAAAGTTCTTGGATGCCATGGAGTGGGAAATTCCATAGAATTATTTTATCTACTGTCTGAAGATATAATAAAAAATAGATTTACAAAAAGATTGAAGAAAGAAAGACGAAAGGCTCAGAAGTGAGTTTCAGCAGAAAAAAAATTTTTTATTTATTCTTTAAAAAATTTAAATATATGTTTGAAATATATGTATCTTGTGTTATACTAGAGAAGAAAACGCCGCAGAGAAAGAGCTACCTACTACACCATCTCTAAAGGATGAGATACAACGATTGCCTGTTATTCGAGTATCTGGCAAAACAAAAGGACTTGATTTAGTAATAGGCAGAGGAAATGAACTGAGAGTTAGTAACAGCATAAGACAAATTTGTATTAAATCACTGAAAATTTGTGTTATATTTTATTTTGCCTATTCTGTGTAGGTGTGTGTTGGAATCAATAACAATTCGATTGAATTACATTCTTTGTTTATGGATGAAAAAAATCAGGAAGTAAAGCATTTGCGTTCAATAACGGCACATGGACATCGTACAGATGTTCGAGCTATCTGTTTTAGTTCCGATAATTTGGCATTTGCTACCGCTAGCGGAGATTCTGTCAAATTATGGAATAGGTAAGGTATCTTATGAAATATACATTTTAATAAATAAATATATCTTAGAGATTTTTTTTAACAAATATAATTTTTAGACCAACATTATCATCTTTACGCACAGTGCAGTGTGGTTATGCACTGACGATAACATTCGTGCCAGGTGACAGGCATTTAATTGTTGGTTTAAAGGATGGAAAAATGCTTATTATTGACATTTCATCTGGTGATATCTTGGAAGAAATATCGGCACATTCCAAAGAGCTTTCGAGCATAACATTATTTCCCGACTTGGTAATAACTTTTAAGAAAAATATCCTAACAATCGTTATTAAAATCTAAAGCTCATTAATATGTTTATACAAATAGAAAGGAGTTGCCAGCGGTGGTGGTGATCAAACGGTGAAATTTTGGAATTTTGAACTTATTCAAGATTCTGACAATCAGATAAAAGCTAAAGTTCTTTCTGTCTTGCACGTAAGAACGCTTAAGCTCGAAGAAAGTGTACTGTGTGTAAGAATAAGTCCGAATAATAGATTTTTAGCTGTTTCTCTATTGAACTCTACCATTAAAATCTTCTTCTTGGATACATTTAAGGTATCATAACTGTTTTGGAATACATCATTTATATCTTAAATATTATCTTTTATTGTTTTATATTTTTATTATAGTTCTTTCTGTCGCTTTATGGACACGAGCTACCAGTACTATGCATGGATATATCTAGCGACTCCACACTCATAGCAACCGGTTCTCAAGATCGTAATATCAAGATCTGGGGTTTGGATTACG